CTCTCTGAAGAACACACAATATCCATTTTGTTTATATCCGATGCAGGTGAGATCGTGCAGGTGATCCCTCTGGCATGATAATCTAAATAATATCTTGTAGTGTGTGATAAGCCACAATTTTCAAATATTGTAGTGTGTGCATATTTGAGATTTGAGAGAAGAAAATCTGTAAAGATTCTCCTTATGTGTGTGATGCAACCAGATTTTATAATCTGTGGTTAGGGTTTAAAAACTCCCTTAGTCTGAGCCCGGCTTAAATGATGACAGAATATTTTTGTTTTTAAGTGAACTATCTGTTATGAAGTCCCAACTCAGTTCACCCTTATTTAGAATATTTTACCTTAATTCTTAGCAACAAGATTAACTACTGTAGGGAGACATTTTTTTGTTTTCTTTAATACAGACATTTTTTTTACTTAAAAACATTTATAAGTTTCTGAATGCTCTTTATTAATTGCCCTTTTGTTTTGTGTTACTTTGCATACAGCTTTGTAATAGAGAATTCTGAGGTGAATCCAAATGGGTTCACGTACCACCTCTCAAATTATGCGCTGTGTGGTCAGGACCGGTGCACTGGCATATGCAGATAATAACCTCTTCACGTGGAGAGTTTACAAGTAATCTCGTAAAGAGTATAGTCTAATTGGCGACAGACGTCATGATTTACTCCAACATTATTTGATATTATTTCTTTATTTATTGACTTTACTGCTATTTAGAATTGTTTTACAGGTATTTAGAATTGTTTTACTAAAACTTTCACTAGAAAACACTAGAATGTCTTTTTCATCTAGGCCAAAGTGACTTAAACAGAAATGTGGATCTGTAATATGTTGAAAAGGATTCCTGAAATAGCTCTCAAACTTCATTACGCATTCCTACCTTAATCTGCTATTAGCACTGCCAGCTCTGAGCTGGATTCTCAGCCAAACCGCAGTACTCTGGGCCATATGCTAAATGCATTAAACGGAGAACCAGACTGTGTCTGTCTTGTAGCTTTAACTGCATTCTGATTGTATTCACTCATTTCATAATATTTTCAGTTGAGATGCATACAGTGATTCTGGGTGATTTCAGCTTTCTCAGTCACTTCAGAGTAAAAGACTAGGGCTAACCTGATCCCACTTCAGCTCTGCCATCCTTGTGTGGATGCAGGTCCTCTGTGTGATATCCAGATGGTTAAGGAGGTGAAAAAAATTGCCGCCTTATTGAATCAAACCCAGCCATTTCCTGTGGCTGAGTCTGCGCTCTTCTCCACACTCTCCATATAAGGCAATGGTATTTGCATGAGGGAACGGCCTGCCATGTCAGTATGGATCTAAGACTGGTGCTGCTGACGTTTTTCAACTGCTGTAGGATTACAGTGTGGAAATGATCTGTAAGGTATTCTCTGGCAGGGTCTTACAAGCAGAACAATGGATTTTTCTCTCCTCCTTCTTATGAATGAAGCATTTTTTCTTTTGGGAATGTTTTTGTACAGTTGTACATTTTCTCAACTGCCACACACATAAGTGGGTATAATGAAGGGCAGATCTTCATCTGTGTTCATATGTGACGCCAGTGAGACTCAGTTGGAAGGATGATGATGTTATTGTAGCCTCCCTCATTAGTAGTATATACTCTCCCGATGTGCCATTCAACAGTATGGAGAATCACATTACATTGACTACACAGCTGCTCCTTAGTCAATTAACACCATGAATTTCCTCATTTATTATGCAGCCATTTGGATTACTTGATTATGCTTGGTCAATTCCACCATTTATCGGTCAAGTACTGTATATCCAGATTATTTGCCGTCATCCATGGCAAAGTGGTATAACATGGTCCATTCAAGTCATGTCCGAAAGATCGTTGATTTCATACTCGCATTTTCTTATTTCATATTTACAACTTGTATTTACAGAGCTGTTATCTTCCCACTGTTTCTAATAGTGAGTGAGCATTAATGTAAAGTAGATGGGGTTGAGATGTTGTATGCTAAGTTTTATTTAAAATCCTGATTTATGCCTTCCCAGGGAGTTTGGGGTTTTGACCTTGCTTGGTGCAGATGGGTATCATGTTTGTCATGGTGTAAATGATGCCTGCTGTTCCTGGGTGAACCACAGCACAAGCTTAGTGAACTTTAGCCTCCCTGGTTTCCGGTGTTCCTTTACAAAACGGAACATTTTCATCCCTAAATAAGCCTAGTGGGAGCAACTATAGCTCTTTAAAAGCAGAGATGCAGTTTTCTCTCTTTTGCCTAACTTTGTGTGGTCTATAACTTTGAGTTTGGGACAGTAGGTGTGGTCATTCTCTAGAAGGAGGAGAGTAAAATGATGGTGATGTGCTTTGTCTAGTCCTTTGTAATCGTGTTTTTGACCAATGTTATGTGGTTAAATTAATTGTTTGCCAATTAGATTAGTTCAATGCATGAGGGAACAGAATATGTAGGACTTTTCACATTAAATATGCTACAAATGAGCGAACAGTAAAAGATTATGCTAAGCCAACCAGTGATGTCTTCATATTAGGATGATGATGATTATTATTATTATTATTTAAGTCCCAGTTAAGTCATTTTGTGTTCACATATATAGCATCCTGTTTTGCTTGTCTTTGCTTTGGCTCACAGTTTATAAGGAACACCTTCTGGGATTGAAGATCCTTTTCAGGTGTTTCTGTGTCCTGTGGTGTGACAGTGATGTGAACTTAAACACTGTGAAAGAAAGGGTTCAGTAGAATTAGAAAAACAGCCACAGGACAATGAACTCTCTCTCTGTTATATATGCAAAAATAAACTAAACAAAACAGTCTGTAAAGATCTGAAAGAAGTGCTTACTGTTCTGTTTAAAACGCTGCTTTCCTCCTTAATTGCTTTTGAGGTATACCACTACTAATAATGTTCAGGTGAAGTACCTTATATGTTGTCATGGTGTTCAGCGGTTATTGTGTTTCTTTATTTTCCTGTAATTTACCTCGAACTTGTACTGTGCTCGTTTACGATGGCAAGTTAATTAGTCCTTCAAGGGAGGAAAAAAATCTTCCATACTTGGTCTGCTTCTACTTTCCTGCGCAGCTAGATTGAGAGATTTTCAGTCTGTGGAATGTACAATTTTGAGAATGTTAAATGACTTTCCAGTTTACCTCATATCATTGTCATGGCATTCTTCAGCTTGGGAAAATTGCTGTAAGAAAAGAATAGACAAATGTGGCCTTCAAATCATACAAAATGCACTATGACTGAACATAACAGAGGAAAATGTTTAAAACAGCAGTGCGTTTGGATCATGTGCTCTCCAAAGCGGTGCACTCACTGTTTGTGTCTGTCTGGCTCTCTTTCTGTATCTGACCTCCTTTCTTGAGTCACACTCATTGTACGCATCTCTTTTGATGTCCTGTCAAATGCACTTGAGGCTTTGTGTCGTTCTGAGTAAGTGGCCGGTTCCTCATGGCAGGGCCATTGTGACCTCAGAACGGTAGCCAGAAGCCGTTGACTCACGTCCCATGATGAATGACCCAAGCTCTCTGGAGACACACCCTCTGCAAAAACATTACTAGAGCGAAAGCAGAAGGAGACTGAAATGGGAAGGTAGGTAAAAAGGGGGACAAGGGAGAAGAGGAGAAATTGTGAGAACATCAGGAGAAGATCAAAAGAAGTGTTTGTAGTACTCAAGGAGCTTTAGGGAGACTCCTGACCATGCACTTTTCATCGGTTTAGAAAAACAAAATCAACATCTGCTGCGGTGAAAAAGAACGAGCTGTGTTAAAAGTGCTGCAGGCGGGGAATTGGACGTGGTCATTTCGCTGAGTGGACGGTTTGCTCACATTAACTGTTGTCAGACTCAGCAGCAATGTACTGTTTATCAGTGTTCATGACTGAATGAGATTCAGAATGGAAGTAAAGTATGTAATGTCTCTGTCAGTGGCGGCATAAAACTATTCAACTTCCTAACTCCCCATCTGCCACTGTACAGGCGAAAAGGTAGTTCGGTCCATTGGGGTTTTCATGATACTTTAAATATGGCTAATAATAACATGATATCAGTGTGGAAGGATCACAACATCAAATAGAAATTCATTCATACCCTTCCGATAAAAACATCTTAAACCAGCCTTAGCTGGTTCACTGGTCTTAGTTGCAGTGTTATTTTACTGCTGTAGTATTTATTAATATTTTGAATTAGTTTTATTTTTCAATTTTAGTTTTAGTCATTTCAGTTTTAGTCATTTTTATGTGCTTTTAATAATATATTTATATAACGTTAATTCAGGTTTAGTCATTTTAGAGTTAGTTTAACCTTATTAAATTCGAGGCAACATTTCTAATTTTTAGTTTCTTGAAGTCTAAGTTTTTCGTGTAATGTTTATATTTTATTTCAGCCTCAATTACCGAAAAATTGAGTACAAAGTTTTAGTTTTAGTTAACAATAATAACAACACTATTTAGTTGGTCTGCTGGCTAGTTTTAGAGCCATTTTGTGCCATTTTCAGGTTGCTAGTTAATCACCAGCTTGGTAGGACTTGTAGGCCATCTTAAACCAGCTAAGACTAACAAACAACCTTTAGGCTTTTTTTTAAGTTAAGTTTTTGAAGCATTTTTTAGTGACAACTGACAAGGTAGTTGTTGTTGGTTAGGTACCACATGGACAGGCTTGCTATACCACCATTATTCCTTGCTAAACCGCCCAAAACTCATACTCATTAGTTTAGAAAAAGTTAATTGAACAATCACAGGAAGTGTTAAAAAAAATCAACAGAGGTGCAATGTTTACATTCTTCTGGGAAGTCAAACTATGTCTAATGGCTTTCTTACAGTTGTCTCTGTACAATAACTTTGGGATGAGAGAAAGTATTTAAACATTAAAAATATGATGCTATCCTTAAAGGGAAATCTAGTCATGGAATGTCTAGTGTTGCCTTTGGGATATGCTAATTCAGTTTCTGCCAGCTAGCTACACAAAAGCTATGGGTGTGTATACAGTCTAACGAGAGTTTCTTGTTTGTGTTTTCTTTCACAGGGGAGCCGGGGACACTACCGGTACCACTGGCAAAGCCACAATGTCAAGCAGAGTGGAGTGGATGACATGGTGCTGCTCTCCAAGATCAGCGAGGATGCCATTGTAGAAAACCTCAAGAAGAGATACATGGATGACTTTATTTTTGTATCCTTGTCCAGCTTTGGTCTCTTTGTCTAACTTGCTTATATCTTAATCTGATATGAAAATAGTCCTAAATAGGGAGGTCTTTGCTGATGGATGTTTTCCTGTGGCTCACTAGAAAACTGTTCTTGGATTCCATCTACTTGAGTGAAGATTACATCTTGATTGTGTTTATTTTTACTAAAGTTTCACTAAACACTGACATTTAACGGTGACGAAAGTTGTCCTTAAACTCTGGTACAACTTCCAAAAACATGTTGTCCTATTTTCCCACAGTAGCAGGGACTGTTTTTGATCAAAGCCGCATGTGTGATGCTGAGAGCTTAGATTGCTGAAGGCAGCCAAAGAATGCTGGTTTACCTCTCTTCTATTTGAACCCAATGTACTTGGCAGGGTTCATGTCTAATTCAGCACACATTACTGGCACTAAAAATGACCTTCTTGATAAATCGCAGCATTTCTTGATGAAAACCTCACTAGCAGTGTATTTCTATTTTCTGCCCTTATTAGGTTTATGGAGTCTTAGCAGACTCTGGCCATTTTGGTCCCAAATCAGTCCTGTGATTGTGGTCAGAAAATAGCAACAACACCAAAGTGTTCCAGTCAGCAGCATATGGAAATGAGGTCACAGCATGCCAGGCTCAATACTTCCTTTATTTGCAGTGAGCAACTTCGGGCCAGGCGGCCAAATAGCTCCAATCACTCACTGCCGGCTGTTCCCTTCCCATTGCATTCAGAGGAGAGAGCAACAGCATCTTAATAAGGCTCTGACCCATTAACCAAAATCTTCACTGCAGCCACATATAACTCTGATGTCACCAGTCCATTATTCACACTCAGGCCATTTTTCATCTGCCAGTCCAGCCAAAGTTTTATGAATACTCTCTGAGTATTAACAACCACAATGAGTAAAATGGTCCAAGAGGTTTTCCTCAATTGTGAATGCTAAACCTCTAATAGTTTTCAGAGAGAGTTTTCAATCTAACAGTTTCACATAGAGAGAGAGAGAGAGAGAGAGAGAGAGAGAGAGAGATTTTGTATAGAAATAGTTAATCATCCACAAATGAAAATTCTGTCATCATTTACTCATGATCATGACACTCCAAAACTGTATGACTTTCTTTGGAACACAAAAGAAGATAATTAACATTTCAACTGTTTTTTGTCCACATAATGAAAGTCATTTTGGTACCAAACCAACATTGGGTCTCATTGACGTCCATTATATGGACATTTGTGTGTGTGTGGTGTGGTGTGTGTGGTGTGTGTGGTGTGTGTGTGTGTGTGTGTGTGTTCAACAGGAAAGAGAAAGTCATACAGATTAGGCTTTTGAAGTAAACTGTCCCTTTACTGCAACCTTTTCTTTCACAATCTTTTGAGCCTTGACTTTCTCCTGCAGACATACATTGGTCCTGTACTCATCTCAATAAACCCTTTCAAACAAATGCCTTACTTTGGGGACAAAGAAATAGAGATGTACCAAGGCGCAGTAAGTTGTCTTTTATGCTTTCCTGAAGTTTAGTCCTGATCCAGAATAGACTGTTTACTGTGGTGCAGTGTTATTGATAACTAAAACTATTAAACAATTATTTTCATTAATTGAAATAAATCTGAAATCAAATCAAATATAAATACTAAAAAATATATATTTTTAAAACTAAAACTAGAAACAAATTGAAATAGAAATATTGCCTTGGCAACTAACTGAAATAAAATAAGTTGAAGTACTAAAATTACTAAAACTAAAAAAAAAAAATACAGCTAAATATAAATATTTTTAAAAAATGAATAAAAATTACAAAGGGACATAGCTAAATTACTAAAACTTAAACTTAAATGAAAATCAAAGCTGAAAATATAAAAATAAAAGCTAATTCAAAATATATAATAGTGCTATAATAGTATAATAAATACTATAATAGTATATAATAATAATACTAAAATAACACTGCTATGGTGTTCAAGAAACAGTTTTGTTGTAAAAGCTCTAGCCATGGGAAATAATAATATAATAGTTTCAGTAATGATTTTTAAGTGTGTAGGTGTGGTGCAGCTTTTAGCAGCTGCATTCTTAATCAGAAAAGTGCACAGGCCTGCCTTACCCATTGAAGCCACCTGGCTATACCTCCACAGAACAGCATGTACGGGTCTATGTTCTCAACCACGCTTGCCCAGAGGTCTTGGCTCCTCATCAAGCTTATGGTTGCTGTCAATAATCATTAGCTTGTGGAGGCTACAGCAAAGACCATTGAATCTGTTTTTACTCATATGCCACACAGTAGCTTATTTATAAATCTGAGCTCAGGCCATCCTAAATATGAACCTTAATGTAAATTATGAAATGTATCTGATTTTCTCCATTTCTCCCTCTCTCTCAGGCTCAGTATGAGAACCCTCCTCATATTTACGCTCTAGCCGATAACATGTATAGAAACATGATGATTGATCGTGAGAACCAGTGTGTCATTATCAGGTGAGAGAACTTTTGAACTCTGAACATATCATCATCAAACTTGCTGTTTAGACTGTAGGTGCTTTTAGTCACAAGAATCTTAATTAGCAATTATCATTATCATTATTAGGATTCGTTTACATGTTTTAACTGAATTATTTACATTTAATTCTGATTAATTAATCAAATTGATTGAAATAAATTAATCAATATGTGTAGAGAAAAGCCCCCAGATGAAGATAGTATGGAAAATATTACATTAGGCTGCTGTAGTATATATTATATATATTGGTTGTTTTATTTCTATTTTATTTGTATTTGTCTGTTCTTCTATCTTTAAATTCTATTTTATTTCTGACCTATATACACATCTTTGGTTGTGTAACATCTTGTCGTTTGGAAAATCCACTATGCCATTTACGCACATGATTAAATGTGCTAGTTTTTAATGTGTTATTATTGTTTTGTATGGCTTTATTGGATAGGACAGTGTAGAGATCAGACAGGAAAGCATAGAGAGAGGAACGGGATCGGCAAAGGACCTAGAGCCGAGAATCGAATTCGGGTCGCCGGAGGCACAGTTGTGCTCAGTGGTTGCGTTAGACTTTCTTATTTTTTATGGTAGTAATAATTCTGTCATAATCTTTTATTAGTCATTTTAATTTTCATATTTCAAAGGTATTAAGACATTAAAGCTGCAGTCCGTAACTTTTTGGGATAAAAATTATCCAAAAAATTTTTTGAGCAAATACTAGGGGTGTAACGATATTTGAACCGAACCGAAAAACCGCGATACACCACCCACGATACGTATCGCGATACTCTCATGGCGAACCGAACACGCCCCGCCCCCTGCTGCCCCGCCCAGCCCCGGCTCATTGCACCTCATGTGTTATGTGTACACAACGAATACAGGGCTGTTGCCTAACCACCATTAACCACATATAATCGCAATAAGCTCAGTGTTTTGTTACTTTTGATAATAAGCAAGGTGTAATCTTTCAAATTATGTCTATTTGATCACGAAATGCAAACAATAAATGCCGTTTTGGCGCTCTTAGATGTGGCGTGACAGATATCACTGTATGCATGCGGCAACGCGGAGCGCGATCATCTCTTCCTCAGTTACAGAATAAACATGAATGGACAACCGAAGGTATGTTGAAAGATACAGTATACTTACTGAAAGGCATCATAACTCGTGAAAACACTCAATCAGTGTTTCAACAGTGGAAATACGTCAATAAAACGCTTAGTTTTTCACATACCTTTATATTTACCTCAGGCAAGTCATTCGGTATCCACAGCTTGCTGGTTTGCTAACTCTTTCACTAAATAAATGCTATATATTAGCCTACATATTATATTTTACTTAACCTGTTTATGATATCTTGATTATTTAATGTATGTTTAAAATAGTTGTCATGAAAATAACAGCAACTGTTTAACGTTAAATTATTATATAACAATAACAAATTAGAGTAAAAACATGTTAATGCAAAAATTGCCTTATGTGCAGTTTACATGTTTTCATACAATTTGTTATTTGAGTGTTGATTAATATTATATCATTTAGGCTAAAAGTCTAGGCTCTGTTGTTAAGCTTTAATGTTATAGTAATGTGCAAGTAAGGGCTGTAGTTTACAGCATTAGCAGATAATTTTGTTATCCTTGAGAAACGTTTACTTGTAATTGAATTAATTTAAAGACAAGGACACAATTTGTTCATTAAAGCACTGTTTAATAAAAAATAAAAGCAATTTTAGCTTTCTAAACCCCCCCACCCCACCGAAATGAACCGAACCGAACCGAGACCTCAAAACCGTGGGACGAACCGAACCGTCAGGTTTGTGTATCGTTACACCCCTAGCAAATACACAACAAGCCAGTGTTCAAAACGATCTGCTTGCCTTAGCTCGATTCAAAACGGTAAGCTTGTAATAAGGTTTTTAATTCCAGTGGTACTGGTGGATTTCCGCGGGAGATTCGAGCATGTCTTTGCGTCAATACGTCACATCTGTACACATGAAGAAGGAGTCTCGGCTAGTAGGCTAAATTGCGTGTGAGGATGTTGGAGGTGGAGATTTATAGCCTTTTCTCACAGCACTTGATATAATTAAACTTATCAATTTGATGGCGGATCCAGAAAGGTTCAAACGACAATCACCAGTGACAACAGATTCACCCGCTGTAAAATGCAAAAGACTTCGTTCAGACTTCGGAGTGGCTACAGAAAAAAAGAGACTGGAAGACTGGAGACTTCCCATGCGAAAAACAAGGATAATATCGGAAGGCCATTAAATGTATCACGCAACGCTGATGTTGAACTTTAACAATTTGAGAACAAAGTATAATTTGCACGGTTTGACGTGATATGATAAGCGATCGTTACATTTAATCTGCGCGATTTACTGCAATGCTCTTTTTCCCTTAGTTGGTCAGAAGAAAAGTGGATGTTACTTACTTGTTCAGATGGCATTTTCCGGTGAAAATTCGTATGTTGGTCATATTTCCAAAAAGTAGAATCTGTGATTCTGAATGCCAGTATCCACACCGGCGCGGTGACTGACAGCTGCACATTCTCCTCAAAACATTGTGTTCATCCGCGCTGTGCCGTGCCAAGGCACAACCCACATAGAGTTGATAATTCTGCGAATAACTGCAATTGCAGATTTCGAACAGAGATGGCGACAAAGAGGAAAAACTACGGACTGCAGCTTTACATAGCTTTTGTTTTAGTTAAAATTTCATTTTTAATTATGATCTTACAGGACCAGCATATAGGCTAGATTATGCATTTATTTTTCCATAACTGCAAAAAAAAAAATTCAGTCAGTGACGGAAAATATTCGGTTAACACGACCACTGGTTGCGCTATATGTCGGAGCGCTGCCCACAAGGCTATCGGCTCTGACTATTGTGTTATTCTTTACATAACCATGTACTAAATTAACATGTTAAACTGGCAGTTCTACTTTTTAAACATGGAGACTAAGTGTTGCTCCATTCTGTTTATGTGTGACGTAGAAAGGGTGTGACATACAATTATGTTTGGTATGATATCAATGCAGACATTGCAGTGGGAGAGTCACCTGGCTGTCAGTTGGAGTGAATAAATCCTCATTACTGTTTTGGTTATGGTATAACGTTACCCCCTTTTGATGATATATACAAAATAAAGACCAAAGGATGTAAAATTACTTTGTCTATTGTTATATTTTCTCCAGGATGTAGGGGACACAACGCACAAGAGCTTTTGTTACCTGTGCTTCCTGCTGGAGCACAGGAAATGCACTTGTAAGGCTACTGTAAATGGAGAAAACTTCACTGAACAGCCAGTTGCGATGGGTGTAATATTGCTTAGTATTAATATTGTTTCTTCATGAAGTAATCCGGTAATTCATGAAGAGTCAGTGAGTCAAAACAAGTTTCTTGATTGGAGAGCCACATGACATAAGGAGTGTCAATATTTCCTATTACACTTTAAACAACTTTTTCAAACTATCAATTTACCTTCAGAAAAGTGAACACTGTGGTTCTTTAGTGCATTCAATATTGCACTGTTTGTT